AGGCGCAGTCTACCAATCAAAGATAAACATGCACATGATAAGCTAGCCTTAAATATCCACAGAAAAGAAACTTTGAGAGATTATAAACCAAAGTACACAAGGGTACATTTAGAACCCTTCAACAAGTGTTCTAAATTTCAAAAGAACTAGCTGGAGGCATCAGTCAAAGAAACTGGGCTGAGCTCAATAGTTTTTTGCCTAAAAAGAGGGTGAACTGCATTTAATACAGTAGAGTTTAGCTATGACAAAGACAATTGACATTAGATGTTTCCAACTTTCCCCATGGACAGTGATGGGAAATATATTTGTGTTTTCTGTTTCTTAAGGAATGAGATGGCAACTACTTTTTCACTAGAAATTTTTTACCTCTAATGATGTCACTTATCCTATGAATAAACAATATATCCACCTCTCAGACAGAAGAGCCTGAAGAATTAAGAAAAGACAGTGTGTGCAAAATGACATAAATAAAAAGAATTTTCAATCCTCCCCAATAGTACTTTGGACCCAACAGTACTTTGGTGTAGGTAACAGTACAAATTAATGTAATGAAACACAGGACAATGACAGAAGACAGCAGCTCATGAAAAAAGGCATAATAGAAAGAGCATAAAAAGCAGCACTCAGATTTGTTTCGACACTTGCAGAACACTGGTACAGACAATCTTCATCATACACAACCCAATATAGTCTCAAAAATAATGATTTTTTTAATAATTGTCAAAACGTAGCATGCAGCTCAAACAAAAAACATTCAGTATTTTTCTTGGTGTGATTTATCCACATAAAACTTGTCTTACAATACACTTGTTATACAAACATTTTCTGAGCCACCAGGGCAAAAAATAAAGTACCAAGCTCTTCAATACGTCATGGAGAACTTCAGTCCTTCCCTGAAGCACACTTAAGGGTTTACTCACTGCAAATGCATTTTTCAACCAACTTCTCCATCCACTGCATATAGTTTGGTTCAACATCTTGAATTAATATTTAGCATTAGCAAACTATTCATATCAAATGACCACTGTTGGAAGCTGCTTTAACACTGAAAACATACGCCCCACAAATGTTTCAGTTGACATTTCAAGTACTCTACAATTATAGTTTCAGTTAAACACAGAATTTGCAGTACTAGAAGAGTAAGGAACAATGACACCAAACTCGGGGATGCCAAGTCAGTCAAGGCAGGCACTCAGGTCACTAAAAACTGAAAGTGAGGAAAGTCATCTGAACATAAAACACTTCAAAACTTATCCCTGCGGACATGTCTAGGAGACCACTAATAAATTATAAACGATGAAGAAAGCAGCAGGAATGCCATTTAATTCCATTGCTGATGTTATGTCAGGTCTTTTGCAGAAACTAATCACATGGACATTGCCAAATACCTCTTTTCAATTATGTACTAAAGGTAGGTCTGTATATACGCACATGCCCAGATTCAGGGAATCATCGGCATAAAGAAGCCTTTAATCTTTAACTGGACAGAGGAAGGTGAGAGAGAACTATGAGAAAGAAGGAAGACTTCAAAAAGGAAACCCTCATTCTTGGGAGACTGCAGAAGTGATCCTTCCTTCTGTCTAATGGATTAGCTGTCAGGAGAGAAAGAATACACACTGGAATAACTCATCAAGGTCTAAGGGATATTTTGGGCAGGACTGGAGGAGGAATAGCCTCCTATCACAGTGTTTACATTCATGCTAATTATTTGCCCTGTGATAACAAACAAATGTTTTAAGATAAAGTTAACCCAAGAAGTAGCAGCAGTACAGCATATGTCTAAACTGGTATTTATTGCTTGTGACGGAAAACCAAGATTTGCCAGATAATTCAGCTGCAAATCTGGACCTGATTCACTCCAGAAACTTTTCTGATTTATCCTGCAGATTGAGAAGTTACTGCAGACTGCTCTCTACTTGTATTTGACTATTGACTGATGGTCTTTGTTATGCATAATTAAGGATTAAAGTATCCAAACCCTCGACACCATCTATCTAAACAACAATTCTATTATCCAGAGGCATAGATATCAAAGATTAGGATTAGTCTGTTTCAAGTAAAAATCCAAGACATTATGATGGTTAGCCTGGCTGAACAGTCAGGATAAAACTGCTACATGCAAAATCCTATACGGATCTGAGTGAAATTTCTGAAATTGTTAAAAAAAATGCTTTATGCCTTCTCACTAGACAGGAACTCTGATGGAAGATCAAAAATGCTTTCCACTACTATGTTGTTTGCTTCATGATGTCCTCCAGAGTTTTTGTTTTAATTTTGGGGTTTTCCCTTAGAGCAGCTTGCTGAACCACTCAATGTTTCTTACAGATTACGCCTTAGCATTGCTTAGAAAAGATAGAAATGATGCAATTTCAGTCAACGCTAACATTATTGAGACCACTGTGAACATGTGAAAAAAAGTTATTTCCCACTTGATTGCAACAGTGAATTCCACAAGCAAAGCTGTTTGCTCTAAGACTCTCTAGCACAGCTTAGAGGCTTTGTATATATTCCAAATGTGGGCATTATCTTACTAACTCAGAGGACCAGAAATAAAGTACTTAAAAATTCAACCAGCTTTGGCTTCTATAGAAACTGTCAACACTGGTTTTCAACGTACCAAACAAATGTCACAACGAATAAATCAGGTCTGGTTTTAGCCTCCTCTGTACAAGGCAGCAGTGACATTGCATTTTCTAATCAGCACTGCAGTAATACACAGAGGGTGACCATCAGCAACAGTACGAAGCACTATGGCACACAAGATTATTGGACAGCTCTTCTACAGTATTTCTAAAATATAATCACAGATGAAAATATAGTAATGGACTCTTACCTGGATATTATCAAATTTTAGTCCAGGCATGGTGAGATTCTCTTTATCTATGAATACAGCACTGTATTGTTGTGTGGCAACTGAAATGAGAACATTTCTTGTTTCCTCACTAGGAATCCAAGCATCATTCCTTCTATCTAGTTCACTCATATTTAAGGCTGTGGCAAACGGGTCATCGTTCCCAGCAAAAACAGCTTGGATTTGTGAGAACGGCTTGGGAGATTGAGTTATTTCTAGAGATGGTGGAGAACCACCTTCAGGTCTCCCATTTTGCATGGGGAAAGTAGGATTGGACGAAGAACCATCTCCACCATTAGAAAGAGAGGACATTTGTTCTGTAACTGAAGAGCTTGCACTGGGATTACTAACAGAAATAAAATTGGATGTGGTAAATGAATCAAAGAAATCAGAAGCTAAAGTATTAGTGTTAACAGTGTCACCAAAGAATTTGCTTAGACTAGGACTTGGTTGAACCACCTGTGGATTAGACTTCACTGGAGTCTCTATTATACTACTAAAACTGGGAGATTTTACCATCTGAGGCTCAAAACCATCAGGTAGGAACAACTGTGGCTGGGTACTAGCATTGTTTGCTTGGCTGAAGATGGTGCACACGGGAATGGGCTCAGCCTCAGAAGATGGTCTGGTAGTAGTGGGTGACAGTATTTGGTCCTCAGGTTTGCTTTCATTAATATTATTTGGTTTTGTTTCAACAGGAACATTGTTTCCCAACTTTGGCTCCTCCTTCACTGCTTCTGGAATTGATTCGTCCTTTAAAGATGCCTGATCATCTGTTCCAATCTCAGAAATGTCTTTAGGAGTTTCTTCATGCTCAGTTTCACTCTCATTACTTAAAAACTCTTCTTTATCTACTTCTGTTTGTGTTTTTTGATTATCTTTAGCTTCCATTTGCTCTACGATCTCCTGAAGACAACCAAGTTCACCTGTGTCATCTTCACTGTTGTTTGGTGAATCTGAAATAATGACACTCTCCATCATCTGCTCATTAAGTTTGTCTACAAAATTATTTGAATCCTCTGATACAGTTTCATTCCCTTCAGATTCAAATTCATCTCCACCAAGATCAATGGTTTCCTCATGATAGAGAATTTCTTCCTGAGTTTTCTGCTGAACTATGTCTTTGCTGTCATCTTCATCCGAGGCGCTCTTTCCATCCTTAGCCTTGCTTTCATTATTCTCCATATTAACTGAAAAAAGAGAAGTCCCCAGTAAAACAAGAATTAGTCTTATTACTAGTATACTGATCCGGTATCACAGTGAAACTCGTAAGTATCATACAAATTGTGAAATTCTTGTTTTAAAAATATAGTTATTTCGCATCTTCCCTTTGACATTTTTCATTTAACATCTAACCACAAAATTAATTCTATATTTTCTCTTTATCGTCTCTGCGAGTCGTAATACTACTGAGATTGAAGAGCAAATGGCTCCCACTAGACACAGATGAAACACTACCATAGAATCGTACCAGAATGGTTTGAGTTGGAAGGGGATCTTATAATGATCATCTGATTCCAAATTCCCTACCATGGGCAGAGCCACATTTCACTAGAACGGGTTGCTCAGAACCATATCCAACCCGGCCTCTAACTCCTCCAGGGATGGACCTCCCAGCCTAACCTACCTGATTCAGCGACTCAACACTTGCTACCCTGGTCGCGAAGACCCGCTCGGTCCCGGTTTCAGCACCGGCAAGCTCACGGCTCAGGGCTATCACCAGCGCAGGCTGCCGAGTACGGGGCTGGCAAAGCAGGACAAGCGCTCGGCGGCGGCAGAGCCGCTTGCGAGCTCCCCGTAGCCCCGGACTGGGCTCAGCGCTGCCTCCGGGGCCACCGCGGCTCCCCCGGCCCGGACACCCCACGGCGGGGGTGGGTCCGGCCTCCTTCACAGCCTCCGCCTGGCACAGCTCACAGGCCGCCTCAGCGACCACCCGCCCAGCTTGGACGCCCCTCAGGCTGCCTGYCCGACCGCCCCACCCCGYTCCGTTCYGTTCTGTCCCGTTCTATCCCGTTCTATCCTATCCCGTCCCGTCCCGTCCYGTCCYGTCCTGTCACCTCCGCTYCGCCGCCTCCGGCGCCGCTCCCCCCTCACAGCGCCTGCGCGCGCACCGGGACGGGCGGGGCTGCGCGCGCGCAGCTCCCGGAAGCGGCCGACGACGGGCTGCGCCGAGGGTCAGAAAGCCTCAGAAGCGGCGGGGGTGCTTGGTTGGGCAGGGGGGTCGCGATGGAGGACGACGCGCCGGTGATTTACGGGCTGGAGTTCCAGGTGAGCGCGGAGGGAGGCTGAGGGAGGGCTGGCAGGTTCCGGTCCTGCTGCTGAGAAGGCGCTGGCCGCGGGGCCGGGTGGGTGTAGAGGGGCAGGGGAGAGCCCGTCCGGGGGATGACCGGCTTGCCCCGCCGCTCTCCGGTGTCCCCCGGCCCGAGSCGGCACCGGGAGCACCACGGGCACCGCGGGTCCTGGAGGCTTTCGGCAGCCGCGCTGGGGTGTTTGAGGGTAGCTGGACAGCGGTCGGGAGTCGGTTCCTGKTCCAAAACGTGGTGTTTGTAGGGCAGGTGCCGGGCCCGGGCAGTGCTCTTTTTGCCCATGGAGCCTCGGGGGCTCCTGCCCGGTCACCGGTCCCTGCTCCGCCTCTGGAAAAGGCTTTGTCTGGGTGGAGTGGTACAAAAGTACCGTCACTGGCAAAGTCATCATTGATTCTCCTTGCCAGACAAAAAAAGCCCCAAAACCCACAACATTGCTTTTCTGAAGAGAGAGCGTGAAAATGTTTCCAGTAAGTTACGAATTTTAATTGATTATGCCCTACTCTAAATCTGCGTGAACTTTATGGGACCTCCCTGTGAGGTCCATATCGGTGCATTTGTCCCATGGAACAAATCTGCCCATCATATTAGTATTCATGGCTGTAAGGAAATGGGACTATCTAATTTAGAAACATTGATTATCTTCTTAGAGGAACACAGGTGTTGTGTTTAATGAGGTTTCTGCAGGTTCTGGGAAAGCAGAGTGAGAGGGACCCTAATTCATTCTTCCCCTACCAGGGACTTTACTCAGTTATTATGTGTTCTCTTTGGCAACAGCTGGCTTATCATCACTGCTCTTGTAGCTGTAATACTGCAGAAGAAAATTAACACCTTCTAAAAGAGTAATTCATTCTACAGTAGATATAGGATATCTACACATGCTTTTTTTTTTTTTTTTTTTTTTGGTACCTTCACTAAAATAAGTGGTTCTTTGTAACAAACGTCCTGGGTCTGAGTAGTGTGCTCTGTAGTCCTGACTATACCAATAGATCTTGTTAGCAAACTGTGCATCTGTTTAGTTTTCCTCTTGTATAGGAGCTGGTGTGTAATATTCACCTGTACTTGATGTCGAATCGACTGAAGTCTGATAGATAGAATGCTGTCTGTACTGTATGATGCTATTGTGTGATTGGCTAAAGATGACTGTAACTTTTACTTCAAAATTAATGAAACTTAAATCTCTTTTGCAGAAGAGAATATATATTATATATATTTAATAAAATAGATATAATATATWWTATATATAWAATACATATAGTATATTTTGTATATAATATATATTATGTATATGTAAGAAAATAAATAAAAAATATATTTATTTTATTAAATATAAAAAGATATAGTATATATAATATATATTATATATATAATACATATAGTATATTTTGTATATAATATATATTATGTATATGTAAGAAAATAAATAAAAAATATATTTATTTTATTAAATATAAAAAGATATAGTATATATATTTAATAAAATTCATGCGTTCCTTCTAGTAGGTCACGTATAATTAATCTTCAAGAAATTTGGGAAAGTTAGTGTGTGTTTTCTGGGATTTCTGTGTACCTGTGTACCCTCCCCTCTCAACCACCCATGTGTCTCCCACAGACCTCTCCTGTGAAGTGTATAACTTAGTGGAGTTGTCTGTCAGGAGTACAAAGCGAAAGGATGAATAAAATTGCTGTAATAAAAGGAAGTTACTGTTGATACAGATCACTTAGGGAGAAAGTGAGAAGAGATGATTTATGGGTAAGTCAGAAAGKAAGGGTGGAGATGAAAGCTCTGTTTCTGATCTACATTAACCCCCAGTGTGGCTTTAAAACAAATTGCATCTCTGTGCTTTTTGAAAATGGAAAGACACTAATATAGAAACTTACACCTAAAAGTGGTTTGTCCAATTTATATCTCCAGGTCTAATAAGAAAGATTTTTTTTTAAGCATCATTTTCTTCTGCATTGCTAGATAATAATGGTTAGCTGCATCATCACAATCATTGCTTTTTGTCTTCCAACTAATTTGTCAGCCAAGTTAAAAAAATTTTGTCTTTGCTTCTTATGTTTGGGATTCCAGCAGTCAGTAAATGTCCATCTTTGGCCACTGACAGAGAAAGTGTAGTCGTGCAGATGTGCTTTTCGTCTGATCCAATGTCACCACGTTTGTAGAAGCATAAGCTGATTCCTCCTAGGATGCTATCCACCAACTAACTTAAAATTATTTCTGTATGMTTTCTGCTTGTTTCTATGTGCAGAAAGTGTTCTGATGTACTGGTATACATAAGGTAACTTAGAGTAATGAACAAATAAATTTTTCTCTTTTTTAATCTCTTGAATGTGTCTGTGGGCAGTATGAACATTGTACAAACATGCAAATGATGTGTGAATTTTAGGGTATATGACTCTTTTTGTGATTTCTAAAAGGACAGTCTCACCGTAGTGAGCACCATAGTTGCTCTGATTGTCTGACTGCAGTGAAAATGAGGAGATTGCAGAGTGGGTGGTGAATGAAAATGTGAGATACTGCTTGAATTAAGGTACTGAATGATATGACTGTGGCTCATGATGATGAGTACAAAGCAGCAGCAGTGGCTGCAGAGCATTTCAATATCAAGATGGTTCTTCTAAAAGAAACCTTAGTAGAATTCATCAATATCCTTAATTATAAGAATGTGATGAATGAGGTCCCAGGAATATTGCTAAGTGCTGGTTTTTGTCAGGTTTATGTCCTTATTGTCCTGTGTAGAGTTGATGTAGGCTTTACTGTCTAACCTGGAGTGCCTGGTGTGTTTACCTGGTGTTGAATTGACTTTCATTTTCAGGGAGTCACAATTTTCCCCATGCTTTTCTTGACGGTTTAAACAGTGATGTTTTGAGCAGGTGTGTAAGCACCAGTGAACGTCTCAAAATACTGTATTTGCCTTAGTTTAGGGTTGACTGGATAACRTTTATATCCTGGAAATGAGCCGTGTGGAGAGCTGCTTTCTGGGATAAGTATTTGGTTCAAGCCTACATCTTGCTTGTTTAAAAGCCTGCAGAAGCCAGGCAGCAKCATGGGATGAGGGAAATGGAATACAACTTATGCCGGAGAGTGATCATTTTGGAGTGTGCGTTTGGCTTATTTAGTGGATTTTGGGGGTGCCATAACACTGAGCTGAATTTCAGCATGCCAGATACTCCTWCTATGTGTTGCCTGTCGAAAGTACATAGACTTGTGAGGAAAAAGGAAGAGCAGGAGTTGCGGACAGCAGGAAGCCACCTGTGTGAGCACAGGGCTGTACTGCACATGGGCAGCTCCAGCAGCACCCTGAGACGGGGTCTGGCTGAAGCAGCCTTGAAAAAAGTGCACTAAAGCTTTGTCAGAGTTAGTGTTCTGCATTGTGGTAATCATGCTTCTTGAATAAGTGATACTTGGTCCATATTGTGCTGTTAGTTAACAGGTTTTATGACTCTGAACAGASACTATTGATTTTTAGGACTGGCCTGCTTATGCGAATAAGATGAAACTGAATTTCCCTAAAGCCAAATGTGTTTTCTTAGAGTAAGAACCTTGAAGAGGTGCAAAATACTGACTGAAATAGATTGTAGAAGACCTGTGACCAATATGTGTATACCTATTGTCATCAGTGTGTGTTTGAGAATAGCTCAGTTGACTTACCTGTGATGGAGTAGAAGGCAGGTGTAGATTATTAGAARTGGTAAAAGGGGTCTTCCTTGGAAAATGTGTGTCACTTGAGAGCTACCCAGGGAAACCTGTGCTGCCTTTCAGACTGGGCTGTGTTCACAGTATGGGAGTGTAGAGCCTATAGCTCCTATTGGCAGTGGTRTTTTCTTCTTTGGGGGAAGCTTTTGTGGTCTCCTGTGGGTTCAGAGAGAGCAGCCTATGCAGAATGTACATAACAATTTTGTTCCAGCTTTAGCAATGTCTCTGGAAGATTTACTTTGAAAATTCAATCAATTTAAGAAACTGCTTAATAATGTCTTACTAAAATTCCTAGCTTTTATGTCAGTTCTCTTTCTTCTCTAAGATTACTTGCCTCATGAGTGCCAATGCCAATCCTGTATATTTTAAACCTTTGTGGTTTGAAGTGTTACTAGAGGAACAAAAGCAGCTAAGTGGCAAAGCCCTCTTAACTAATCCCCCAAAGATCTTCATAATGCATGAAGTGGAACAGTTGGAAAGTAGTTTTTAGGASCCTCAAGCAATTAGTAGGATCATCCTAATGCTAGGTATGGTGCAGAATAATGACAATGTGAAGATACAGTTAGTTGAACTTGAAGGAACTATTAAATGATGATTGTTACCTTCCTGACAAATGAATGGGTTTTCTGAGGATGATTGTGCTGTGCACGGCTTTGTGTGCAGGTTGCATTTGTTGCTGTGAGGGTTTACAGGATCTGTCAGTCTTTGGAATAGGGTCAGTGCACTAAATACATCAGTGGTGGGAATTTTTGTGCTGTGAAAGACTTGGGAAAGCAGCTGTCTGAGAGCATTGAAGGTCACCTGGGCATGTGTGCTGCCAACCTTTTCACTGATAGTCACTCCAGCTTATTAGAGTCACTGGGAGGGTCTCCTACTGTGGTGGGAGAAACAGGGCTGTCTTACCCAAGTGAAAATCAAAGTGTACTTACTTGAAAATTGAAATTGTGCCAGAAGGCAGAAATAACATTCATGACATTAGCAGCCTGGGGCTTGTCTGGGGAGGACAGGGAACTTGTATTTTGCCTCCAGAATGAGGCATCAGCTCCCCACACCAAGTAGCAGTACACTAGTTCTGGTTTTCAGCATAAGCAGATGGTCAAATAACTTTAAACTCAGATTTAGGGACTGCAAGCCAAATRCTATGTCCTTACATTTTGCATTATAAGTTCATTGTTTGTTAGTACAGATTGATTGTGTGAATTTCAAATGTTGCCTAGTTTGCAGAATGTTTTTTGTTTGTATTAAATGTAATACAATATTCAAATGTTGGGATCTGTTTGTTTTCTTGTTTGTTAATGCCAAAGTGTGTCAGCATGACAAGATACATATTGAAGAAGTACTTTTTTGTTTGTTTATTAATTCCCTAAACAGGAACAGTCAAATTAAGAAAACAAACAAAGAACACAAACAACAAGAACAAAAA